TAAATCACAGTGATTCGCACACTTTACTTACGGCTTGATTCGGCTATCTCTATCTTCAATCTCTCTATCTATCTCCTTCTGCTTTATTTGCCGAGCTTATATACTAAAAAAGAGGGCGCTTGGAACAGACTAGAGTTGCAAGGACAATTCGAGAACCTCATGACGTGTTACCAGCGTCACGTGACTTTCGCTGTCGTAACAATACATTTAGTTAATTTTGACGTAATCTACCTATAGGGGTATACTTTTCATGGATATTTAAATAAAAATTTTTGTAGGAACGTAGTCAGAAGCATTTATATACATGATTACTGGAGGTTGGTTTCGATCATTCTGAAGCGTGAGAACAACGTGTTGAAATTGTTTATGGAAATATTTTGAACGTTCGTAAGTGTCAACGATGGTTCAGCAAATTTCGTTCAGGTGGCTTTAGCCATAAAAATTGTGAAGACGCTTGTTGAGTCTAATCCAAGGCAACACACTTGTGAAATGGCTCTGAAATTGCATGTCTCTCATGAAACAATAGGTAAACATATAAGGAATATGGGAAAACTCCATAAAAAAGTGTTTGGGTGCCTCACGAACTTACCGATGATCATCGTTTCCAAGTGTGAACGTCGCTTCGTCTCTTCTGGTGCCTAATGCGCGTGAACCATTTTTGGACAGAATTGTCACCGGTGATTAAAAAAAATGGATTCTCTATGCAAATATTAAACGCCAAAAACAATAGCTCAGTCCTATACAAAAACTACTTCCGACCCCAAAACCTGGACTCCATCCGCAGAAAGTGGTGCTTTGCATTTGGTGGGACATCAAAGGAGTAATTCATTTCGAACTCTTCAATCCACAGCGAACTGTCAATGCAGAGATCTGTAGTCAGCAAATGGAACATTTAAATCAAGCCCTTCATCAGAAACGCCCTTCACTCATCAATCTGCAAAGTGTTCTCCTTCTCCACGACAATGAACGTCCACATGTGGAACGTTTGAAGCAAAACAAAATTTTGGAGTTGGGTTGGGAAGTTCTCCCCCACCCACCATATTCTCCAGATATGGTACCATCAGATTACCATCTTTTTTCGTTCGCTGCAACATCATGTTAGTGAGAAAACGTATGAAAATGTGGACGCCGTTAAAGAGGACATCGACATGTTTCTAACATCAAAGCCAAGTGATTTCTTTAATCAGGGCATTAGTAACCTGATTATAAGATGGAAAAGCATCACAGATAAGAATGGAAACTATTTCATTTAATAAATGTTTTGTTTCGATATATAACTTGTTCGGGTTTTTTCATCTAAAAAAAAGTGACATTAATTTCTTGACAACTTGACAGAGGATAAGAGAGCTCCTCTCATTTGTAATGACACTTTGGGTTTGATAATCTTAATTGTCGAATAGCTCCACTTTATCAAATCAAGTTGTTGTAAGATCCTTTTGCCCTGACCCAGAGGTTATTGAACTTTTTAAACGTAAACTTCTGTCTGTGAGAAAATATTTAATCTTTTGACACTAGTAGAGGGAATCCTATGATCATGACATACAATAATTGACATTAAGTAGTAGCTCGAGGGATCTTTACTTTAACAAATATTCACGTTAAATTTTCCTTATATGGCAATTTTCCTTCCAACTTTAGAATTATAAAATCATTTTATTGATAGAAACTAGTTGCAAAGAACCTAATATCACGAGACACTGGCTGGGGAATTATTTTGACCAAGAAACGCTATCTGGAGGGTTACTTTGATCATTAACACTAGCTGGAGAAATAATTTGATAAAAGAGACGCTATTTGCAAGCTATGAACATTAAGTGTAACTAAAGCTGTAGGGATAATTTTATCTGAAAAGTTAACACCTGGAGTTGGAGACGTTGTTTCACTTTAGAGATCCTACATATTCTTTATTGATTCCTAGAAATGATAAGATTATTAACAATTATTTATACTTTACGTTTACAACATGTGTCCCAATAATTAGTGATAAACGTAATGTTAACATGCCATAGAATTTACCATAGTTTATCACGTCAGTAAACTGAAGATATGATAATATAGTCATATGGTAATTTTTCAAACGCTTAAAACTGTTTCCGAAGAAAATGTTTAATCTAAAAATATATCAAAAATATTTGAAGACGTACAAGTAAAGAAATTGCACAAATTTAATTTTTTTTTTTCGAACTGTGTTTTGTATAACTTATAGAAAAATCTCTCTCTTCTGAGAGAAGACTTTACCAATGCTATTTTTAATATTTATTATGAGAAATTGATTCCATAATTACAACTATAGAAGAATGATGTCTTATTTTGTTAAATTGTCCAATTAGAATATTATAACACCTCATTTAAAAACTTACAACATTTAAAAAATTGTTTGTAATAGCAAGAAAAAGTGCCCTTTTATTATCATTTTTTTGAAGTAATTGTTCTGTTTGAAAATTTCTCAGTTTTATAGGGAGGAAGGTAATTTTGTATGGAGGAAGGTAGTTTTGTATGGATGAAAGTAGTTTTGTATGGAGGAAGGTAGTTTTGT